AACCGATTATTCTGTAAAATTTGTCGAATCAATAAAAAAATAAATGTAACAGTAACTGTATAATTTGCTACTGTTTTTAAATTCTTTTCAATATCAATACTTCAATTAAAACTCATATTTAAATATTTAACTCAAATATTTGCTTTCATTTACCATTACATATATGAAGAACAATACATATGTCACTATAAGTACATTACCTGAAAAAACAACAATACATAATGTTGGTACAAAATACATACATTGTAATACAAATACACTACTGTTTGTGAGACACTTTGGGGCACTATTCAAAAGGAAAAAAGTTTCATATAAATGGCAGGGAACTGGGGAAACTGAAAAAGATATGTGGCTTCAGGAAAAGGATCAAAAATCTAAAAATTGCCCCACGCTATGGGCGTCAAATTTGTAACGAATAGGTACAATTGGCGCAAATCTAAGACAAGCCACACACGTTGGGAGCCAAATTGTAACGACAGTACAATTGGCGCAAATCTAAGACAAGCCACACACGTTGGGCGCTAAAATTGTAACGATAGATACAATTAGCGCCAACCTAATTCATGCCCCACGTTGGGCGCCAAAATTGTAACGACTATTTTGCTTACCACAGGGTAAGAATATGGGGGACAAGATTGAGCAAACAAAATAATCGAAACAAGTGCATACGGACACTCAGTTGGTTGTTGGAGAGCTGGGTCGGGGATAAGTTGAAGATATTGGGGGTTAGATTGGGGCAACTACAAAGAAAAGAAATAAAGGGGTACTTATACAAATCTCTTGGGACAAACAGAATGAAAATAAACGAAAACACCTCAAGAAATTTAATATAGGGCGCCACTTGAGGTGCCCAATTATACCTATTACAACCACTAGTTGTAACTAGGGAAATAATTGTATAACATCAAAAATATAGAAAAAAATATCTTTTTCAAATAAAACTCAAAACAGATCAGAGAAACAAATTAAACATTTATTTTTGTCTCAAACAAAACAGATCAAAAATACATATTATAAAAGAAACATATCATATAACATAATACAAATAACAAAAACTTACATGTTCTTTGTTTACTATATTATGGCCAATTAGATTATCAAAAATTAAGGATCTTTCTTAATGAAAACATATAAATTTAAACTTATATATGAAATATCGTTTCTACATAATTATCAAATTAAAATTGTCATAACAAAAAAACAAATTAAACTTGCTGTCAGGTATCACATTTAATTTTGATGACAAAGAATGAAAGCAATTATTACTTTAGCCAAAAAATATCTGTCTTTACTTTGAAAAATTAATATATTGAATTGTTACCTTAATGTTTTTTTTTTATACAAACACTTTGAAACTTTGCATCTCTGGGGAAGCTACTCGGACAAAACTTTCAAAACTGGAAGGCAGCAACCATCAGGAACTAGTTCTACACTCCAGGACAAAACGATAGGAACAGGAACTTGGTGGAAGAATCGAGCCGACTACGGGGACATCCTATATCATACTTCTTTAAATATTTAGTAGTTACCCTTTTCAAAACCTGTCTTATTACAGAGGGTAATTGTTCCTCTAATTAACAAAATTTGTCGACTTTTTTCTTCGAGAAGTTCTTCATCACTTCCTCTCAAATCTTTTACTCCATTCCCACATGTCTGCCCCGCTTGGAACTTTAATCTCGACTCCTTTTCACATGTCTGCCCCGCTTGGAATCTAAATCTCGACTCCTTTATCACATGTCTGCCCGCTTGGAATCTAAATCTCGACTTCTTTATCACATGTCTGCCCCGTTTGAAACTTAAATGTCGACTCTTTATCACATGTCTGCCCCGCTTGGAATCTAAATGTCGACTCCTCTTGCTTCGTTACATTTTCAAGAATCTAGCCAAAAATTTCCCTTCCGTCTTGCAGCTAACCTGTCCCCACAAACTCAAGAACCAAAACAATATCCCCTCGCTCGTATCGACAAAAAAACCTTTTAAATATTCCTTTATTGCCTAAACAAACAAATATTCTTTTTTTGACCCTCGACTAATAACGAAAAACAACTATAATATTAGGGGAATTCATATTTATTGCGTTTTTAACGAAGAAAACAAATAAAACCTTTTTTTTTATCAGGGGGCATCATAAATTTACATAATACAAATTAACAAAATACGTGCGTATTTTAAACTTGAGTTTTACCTGGCTTATAACAAAAGGTTCGATATTTGAATCTAAACACAGACAAAAAAAACATCTATATTTACTTTTGAATCGGTAGAAATATACGCATTTAAAAATCTCGTCAAAAAAACTTGAAATATTATTTCGATTGTTTTCTTTGGTAAAAACAACAGGAGCGTAACACAGAAATCTTTTCTATACACTTTAAATAAAAAAACGCTACAAGTCTACCATACCACTGGGCAGATCAAAGTGGAAAAACTTTAAAGAAATTAATTTAACCGGAATTATAAAAAATTATACAAGCCAATAAAACACATTTTCAACGAGTTTATGTATTAGATTATGAGCTTGAACAACATGGACATAAAGTACTTTGCTTGCCTCCCTATCATCCGGAGTTAAACCCTATCGAAAAAATATAGGCTTTGGTAAAAGTGGCCACTCATAATACAACATTTAACATAAATGAAGTTGAAAATATAATAAGAACAACATTTTCAGAAGTATTAATAGAAGAGGGGTCTAACATATGTAAACACGTAAAAAAAATATGAAAACACTCAAATCGCAAAAGAACATTTATTAGACTCCACGCTGGACTACTTACAATTTTTATTAATACCGGTTCATCCGAAGAAAGCCTTTCTGATAATGAAGAAAGTGATTCAAATTCCGGAATAGACGTGTTTTTATGTGATATTCCTTTGTCATATAACAAAACATAGAAGTCTTTACAATCATTACTGTTTAGAAAATAAATACATTATTTAATTAGTTAAAATAAATTACTTATTTTTTTGTGTTGTTGAAATCCTTCCTCCCTTCCTGGCAATTTTAATAAATTGTAAGTATTGAGGAATTTGTTATTTATTAAAGTACTCATTATTTTATCGAATGCCTGACTATAAACTTCATAAATATTAAAAACTATAAAAATAAAAATTGACAAATTCCATTCTCACTTTAATTGAATATACTTAGAAAAATTTATTTTAAAGCTACCGGTTTCCATCCGCCACTGGTAGAAACGGTCCGCCTGTCTGCGCGAAACACTACGTCACATTCCCAAACTTAAGTTTGTCGGACTCTACCAAGTTGTCAGTCTAATTTTACAGTAAACAGGTAAGAGATCTATCAACAGTTAGCCCCGTGAAATAACAGATTTCTTATCCATTTTAATATTAATGGGAGTAATAAATTTACAAGCAGTAGAAGACTATTGGGCGACATTCTCTAGAATATCCCAATTTGAGAACATTATGCCACCAAAACAATTTCAACTTCTTAGAAGATTTATTCACTGCAACGACGACAGTCAAATTACAGACGAAACCAAAAATTGATATTTCAAAATCAGTATTTCATATACGACTATGATTGCATATAAAGGTACTCGTTCAGGGAATCTCAGGCAATATATTCAAAATAAGCCTCATAAATGGAGATAAACAATGTTTGTTCGAGCTGGCGTGTCTGGCTAGATTGCAGTTTTTATTGTATACCAAGGATCTTTCAAATTTTCTGAGTTGTAAAATACTTACTTACGAGCTTACTGAGGACGAAACTTCTTTTGGTGTAGGTGCTAGCCTACAAGCCTACATAGTTATAATTTTGAGCAAGACCATTTCTGATCCCTTAAATTCAGTAATTTCTTGCGACAACTTTGGAGTGAATACTCTTGAAGGACTATACTTTCATATGGAATAAAAAAATAAATTTTTCTTTTTGAAAATACAAGACCTATCTAACCCCTTAAAGTGCAGTAAGGTATCAGTACAACGAACAGTAAAGGATCTACTAGTGAAGTTGTTTTGGGAACTCGGCAACTGAGTTTTGATAAATACTCCATAGAGAGAGTCGAAAGATCGGGGTATCAAAATCTGACGCAATTGAACCCAGAAACTGAGTAAGTTTGATATTGATTTTTCTAATATTATTCTCATTTATAAAACAAGACAAAAACTGAAAAATAAATAGGAAATATTAGATTTTGTGTTTTGTTTGATAAGTTGCCATGAAAAATTACTGTAACTTCCTCGATAGATAGCACTAAGCGATAACTATGGATAATCAATTCTTCAATTAGCATTACAATTAAAACACTAAGATATGAAAATAAATCGTATTTAGAAATTAAATTTAGGCAAGAGGTTGAAAGATGCAATAATCAAAACACCAGAAAAACTATTTAAATAAGATCAACAAAAAAACCTGTCAAACCTGTTATTGTTTAAAAAGGCTAAGGAGCTTCTATTTTTAATAAGATATTCAACCAATGGACCAGTATGGAAGGTATGATAATTTAGATAACAAATACGAATAGCAGAAATTTCCAAGTATTTCACAGCCCAATTCATTCCAACGTATTTAAATTTCCTCCTACTCAATCGTATATAGCAGATTTAGACATTGTCTACTTCTTTTTGGATAATTCAAGATGTCGTCTCTGTGATGACGACGACAAAGCATCCTCACATATCCTCTGTCAGTGTCCAAAATTGATCTATCAAAGAGACAAGTCTTTATATCAACGTCTTTATGTCAGTTGGGAACATTTTGGCTTTCTGTGAGTCCATAAGTATTTTTGAAAAATTAGATTCCTACAGCAAAGCCGAGGATTCAGATCTTGATATACAATAGCTATAGCTAGCAATACATATAACTAGGAAATAGTTCGTTAAGTCATGATTCGGATGGTCGAAATATCATAAGGACTTACAAATGGGTCCTATCCAAATATATCATATAAATATCTGTTTTGTATTATTTCTTTGTTTTTCTTTCAACATGGATACATCTAAATTTATACAAAATAAAAGAAAATCATTACCTGTAATATTTCATTCTCCAGTTGCTGAACTTTCATCGATAATGCATCTCGTTCTACCTTCATTTTTATATATTCCGATTTGGAAGTAGATTCATCCTTCTACAAGGTATACACAAATTTTTATTGAAAAAATACTGTTTTTAGCCCACTGTATAAAAATAATATATTAAATATCAAAGAAAGTCTTGCTGGAAACTTATGGAAATAAAGAAACTCCAGTCACTTCCAATCGATATCAAAAGTTGATCAACATAGCACAAAATTAATCATTAAAAGTTTTAGACAGTTGCGACTGAGTTCAGTGAATAGAGGAGACTGGTCCACAGAGAGACATGTTCCACAGTGTGACAATGCATTTTCTGAGAACATGTCAACAGCACTTTGCATGCAATTCCCACCATAAGTTGTATCAAAACGTAGAGTCTACCTACCAGCAAATCTTAGCTTTAGTTCCCGTGTTCGTTTTTGTGTGTCAGATGGTAGTTTGATTTTTGCTCCCGAAAGAAATTATATTGTTCCTCATATCGACCGATATAATTCGGTTGTACATTGAGTTAGTACTTTGATATTAATGGTAAGTAAAGCTTAGGTATTTTTGCCTGTAATTGTGTAGCGATATTATTTTTATTTGGTCGAATTTAGAAAAAAGATTATACTTTATGAAATTGTACCTGTGTGGTACAGTGAGATAATCCTTAGTGAGTCAGACGGAAAGCGTCCCATCGAGGACGTTAGTTGGATAATACAAACTTATACTATTTGTTTTTTTTTTGTGTGGATTATGGCAAGGAATAGCAAAAGAAAGACCAACATTGCTTCCTTTTCTGACAGTTAAATGAGAGAAGCCGTGGAATTAGTAACAAAAAGAGGGTTTTCATTGCGAAACGCAGCAGAACTGAAGGGTAGCAAGTTCGGACTTTAGAAAGGTAAATTGCAAAGGAAATTAGGAACGATTAGATTTCGCGTAAAAGATTTTATTTTTCCAACAAACAATAATCTTTCTATTTCAGATACGTGAAAAAACAAAGGAATAACCCTGATGCCGAAATGAAAATAAGACCTTTCTATGAATCCCGCCAAATTATGTCGAAAGAACAAGAATTGGCACTGGCAGATTACCTCGGAATGTGCTCAAAAATGAACTACAGCCTAACAACTCTTGGATGTCTCCGTTTGGCATACGAAATGGCTCAAAAAAATATTTCGGATTCCGAACAATTGGTCAGAAAATAGAGCTGTCGACATAGAATGGATTAGACGATTTTTAAAATCTTTTCGATGATTTCGAATACAAGATCAATTATCTGAGAAGAAAAAATAAATCGAACAAGTTCTTTTATCCAAACGTTCCTGAAGTTGCTAGTGTTTTGTTGCAAGACAGTGATGTCTTGTGACATAGTGTCTCACTGTGGGACACTGAGACACTTTGCAATGTCAATAAGAATTTTTTTTGGTTATGTTTTCAATTTCAAATCTATTAAGTTTGTGTATTTTTGTAAAATAACGGCCAATTTACAGGATTATTTGTTTGTTTTCAATATATAAAGACAAAGTTGTGAAAAAATCTCGAATGCCTAAAAACTGTCTCACTGTGGACCACTCTCCCCTACAGTACCTATATAACCTATGTTAGCATGCGTTAGGTCATGAATAACATTTTGTGAATAGAATATTCTTATAGAGTCTCTAGATATTGAGAAGTTTTAGGTCGTTTATTTTTGAGAAATTATGAAAAAAAATACATACCAAACGTTTTTGGAGTTCTTGTTCCAGTTTTGCATTTTTCTGTTCTAGTTCACTACAAACTGTCACTTGTGTATCATATTTAACCTTCCAATCGTCTTCATCTTTCCTTTCAGACAGCTTAACCAACCTCATCTTGTGTTGTAAGTTCTCACCTTCAAGTTCTTCATACTTAAATGATAAACAATCATATTTTCCGGATAACTCAATGTACTTTTTGTGTATTTTGCTGGTTTCAACTTGTTCCAACTCTAACTCCTTCACTTTTTGTTTGTAGTAATCAGAATACTGCAAAATCGAATCTGACTTCTGTTCTAATAAACTAACTTTTTTCTTTAAGTCGGCGATTTCATGGTTTTTAGATGTTAAAAGATCTTCGAGTTCCTTTACAGTAGACTCTAATTTGTCTTTAATGATATTCCAGTCCATTTCTCTCATGTGATAGTCTTCAAGTTCGTTTTGAGATTGCTGAATCTGTCACAAATAAATAAGATTAATACATGTTTAGAAGATAAAATATAAGTTAATAATAAGCAATCACAAGGCATAGCAGCAAGACAATATATTGGCTTACTTAATCAAAAGTGTCAGCAAAATTATTTTTGGTTAAAATTCTCGAAATCAAATACACCACCAAACATTTATATTACAATATATCACCACAAAATTACAAAGTTAACATTACCTCAAATTTATATTGACTGTAGATAGTCTCGGCATCTTCCAATTCCATCTTTAGCCTATTAATCATATCATAAGCATCATGCATCTGCTGCATAATTTCTTTGTTAAGATTTTGTTCATTTGTAAATTGTTGCTTGTATTTTATAACTTCCTTTTTGTAGTCATCAACTTCTTTATTAAGTTTACTACCCATATTCTCGATGTCTTTGCAGTTTATTTTGATAGTTGACTCAAACTGCATTTCCAGTTCCTCATTTGAGACTTGTGCTTGCTTTAAGTCAGCTGTTAGTTGAAGGTTCTTCTGTTCATACTCTAAAAGCTTCTTTTCGCAGTCGGATAATTCTTCTTTAAGTTGTTCAACGTCTTTATCGGAATGTATTAGTCTTTTCGTAAGAACTTCAATGGTAACTTGCGAATTTTTTATTGTGTACTCATATGCTGACTTTTCGTTTAAAGTTTGTTTTAATTTTTTACTGTATTGTTCAATTTCTGCTTGGAGCTTCTTTTTTACTTCTTCTGTTTGTTTTTCTTTAAGTTTTAGTTCTGTTTTCAGTTCATTATAGGTAGCTGTCAGTTTCTTAAAATCATTAGTCAACTCTTCATATTTACTTTTGACATGCTTGAATTCCTCTACATTTTCTTTTAACTCAGACACAACCGCATTTTTCTCTATTGTACATTGTATAATATGGTATTCACTTATGGTTTGACATTCCTTTAAAATGTCATCTGATTGCTTCTGTTGTTCATTAAGTTTGTTTTTCCACTCTACTTCTAGTTGATGAAGCTTATCGTTCATCTGGTCTTCCCAATTACTGTTTGATTTTAATGTTTCTTCCATCTAAAAATAAAACCTATTATATATAAAGTAGATAAAGACAAGAAATACGTGCTTGGACTTTCATAGGAATTCATATTGTCACCTATATTAAATTATTTTATGAAAATTTCATTAAAATACATTACGATATTATGATTATGATTACAAAGAATTGCTGTAAGTATATAAGAAATTGTACTTACCTCCTTTATTTTAAGTTGAGAATTGTGTATTATGTTCTCTTTATCCTGTTGAAAAACTTCCCTCATTTCAAGAAGTTTATTATTCATCATTTCTTCCATTTCCTTAATTTGTATGGAACTAGTCTCCTTTTCCTTTTGTAATTCAGTCATTGTCTTTAACAGTTCAAATTCCAAGTCTTGGATTTCAATCTGTTGTTCTTTTCTTAGCTTTTCTATTTCAAGAGAATGTTTCTTTTGCATGTCAATAGAACTTCGCTCTAGCATCTTCACAATATTCTCTTGGTGGTGCAATGCTGCTTCTTTTTGTTCAAAGAGAATCTGGTAATGGTCTGAATATTTTTGGAAGTAAATTGGCATTTCAGTGCAGTGATTTTTTAAATCTTGTACATTAGTTTCATAAAATGTTTGGAAATTTTTAAAATCTTCCCTTAAAGCTATTAATTGATCTGAAATTTTCTCTTTTATAGAAAGCGTTTCTATGAGCTTTTTATGGAATTCAGTCTGTATACTCTGTAAATGTAGTTGATGACTGTTTCTCAAATCTTCAACCATTCTTTGGTGTTTTTCTGTTTCGTTTTGTATATGTTCATTCTCTCTTTGGATCTTGCAGATAGCATCTTTAAACTCTTCAAGTTGTTGTGTAAGATCCTTAATGTATGCATCTTTATTTTCACATTCCACAATTTTCTCCTTTAATGCTTCAATATTAGGATCAGTCGGAAAAAGTGTTGTGGGTTTTGGTGTTGTATCTGTGGGAGGCACAGTAAGTTTTAACTTTTTCTTCAACAAATTTGGCTAAAAATAATAATAAACACTACATAAATAATATTAACAAAGAAAAAAAACAAAAAAATACAAAACAAAAGAAATTGCATGATGTTCAAAGTTAGATCAAGTATACACACTTTTGTTTTTGTCAAAGAAAAAATTATTGTATCCCAGTAAAACCTTTGATTTTGTTCTGATTTGTTTCTTTTCAGAGTGGTGATTTTCATAAAAATCATGGAAGTATATGCTTCAAATAAAAAAAACCAGTATCTCCAGTTTTTTATTTGAAATCTATTATAACCCACCATTAATTGCCACTTTCCTAGTGAATTGAAGTGATTTTATAGAGTTTAAACAATAATTATTACCTATTAGGACCTGTACTTAAATGTCCTTTATTGGTCAAATATCTGTACTTATCTAATTACATAAAGAACAAAACTTACTGTACGAAAACATGGTACACTCTGGGAGGATGCAGTATCAGATGTGTTTTTTTCTGGTTTAATATCACATGGTTGTTGAATTACTGGTTTTGGTTTAACCTTTGGTTTTTCTGCTATTTGTTTGCCAGCGGCAATAGATGCTAAAAATAAGATTGAACATTTTAAATAAATTTCACATTTCAAAATGAATTAATTTTCAGGAAGATTTAGAATTTATTTGCAAACTTTCAGAAGAGATACCTAATAACTATTCTGCGAATCAGCTGTTTAAACTCTTATTTATGAGATTTGTGATAAATTGGCAATTATTGCAAGCATGTGTCTGTAAACCTGCACAGGGAAATAGATAAGAAAACAAAAATAACATTGGTTACCAATCTTCCTCTAATTGCCTTAAAATGAGAATAACATAAAATATTTCCAGGGTCAAAAAAATGTTTCAGATATCACCGATGTGCTCAAATGGGTTTGCCACAATAATGTGACTATTTGTCTTTGGCAATATCATCATCCTAAACATTTGAATATCTGATTTTGCTCCTAAGCTTTTGCTATTAGTTTATAGCACCCAATATTTTGCCAATTTAGTTAATAATGGTTTAATAAATGGTTCAAATGATCATCTCTGAATATTTTGCTTTAGAGTATTTGTTTTCCAACACTTAACAACTATAATTTGATATTAGAAGAACCCAACAAATTAAACACACTCTGCAAATATCTACTTCAATTTTGCTCTTTTTTAAATTGGTATCCCAAAAATATGCAACCACTTTTACATAAAATTAATAGTAATAATTTTAACAGAGGTTAAAAATAATAATTAAACAATTTAAATTTGTAAAAAGACTTAAATTAACACACTAACACCAAAGAATATAGAGGCACATTCTATATTCTTTGATAACACACTGAATTTGAATTAACAAACTATCAAAGTAACATACATTTTGTTCATTGTGTTTGTTTCCTCATTTGAGTAGAAAATTGTCTACTAACTACTATGAAAACCATAAATTATCATATACATATATCTTACCAAATATATTAATTCTGTGTTGTTTATTAACTTATGAACTAAAATCCTTAAATATTAAAATGTATTACACATGTATTAAAACAAAGGACTGAAAGTCCAATGCTTGCAGTTCGTTTTTTGATACCTTAATGCAGCATTATTTATTTAAACTATTACCAGTTTTAAAATGTTCTATATGCATACTATATTGTTAATTAATTTAATAGGTTTAAATTTTAATTGATCTGATTTATTCGACATGGTATCTTATCTATAAAAGAAGTTATAAACTATTTGTCCCTGTTTAATAATATTCTCCTACAACAAATTTAGATATTTTTAAATAAAACAATAAAGAATAATTATAGACAATACATTTAGAAAGAAACCAATTAAATACTTACCCTTAACATCGTTGAATCTTTGGATTTTTGCTTTACTGAAAGACATGTTTAATAAACACAACCACAAGTTTTTAACAACAATAAACAACAAACTATAGTACAAAATATTATTTAAGTTGTGCAACAAGAAGCATGTATAAGTTAAGCGCCATAACAGCTGGTGTTTGACCGTTACAAACAGATAATAATATCGGGCATTGTTTATAAAAGGCGCGCGAACAGACTACATGAATTACACTAGATGGCGCTTCTCGAAAATTAGGAAAAATAATATGTGCATTTATAACTGTTTATGTTTAAAATAATAAAGAAAAACAATTTAAACATTGTCCTATATAAATAAATTATTTACATTCACATTAATCAATTTATATTTATTGTTATAAAAAATGTTAATATTATGGACCAAAAATGGATGTCCTAGGTCATTAAATAATTTGGCAGTTTCTTATAAGGGGTATCTTCTTGAGAAGTTAGGGTCGTTTTCATATCTCAATATAGAGAGCTCTGTAAGTTAATTTTAAAAATTCTATGTTTATAGGCAACTAAGTTTGATATTGTTGAGTATAGTCTACAAATAGATAAATTACTGAACTTTTAGGTTTATGTATGTAAGTATTATTTTACATTCTTCATTTTAACATTACAAAATTTTTAAAGTATGGTGCACCTTACATTTATCTAAAACCATATGCAAACTGACATAAGAAAATTATATATCTACCTAACTCTTATCTTGTATAATGCATCTATAAGATTTTGCATGGTTCGTGGATTTCGAAAAGGCATTCGACAAAGTACAGCATGTAAAATTAATACAGATGCTAAAAAATATAGGAATAATTGACAAATATGTTCGTGTCATCAAAAATTTGTACTGGAATCAAACTGTTATCGTAAAAATTGGAGATAATGACATTTGTACTCGAGAGACAGCCGTATGGAATAAAAATTAACGGAAAACTAGTTCCCACTGGTCTTTAAGTGCTGTTTTATTTCCTTCATATCCAGTCCGCTCTGTCTTTATTCCTTTATCAAATTTCTTTTCAGTTTCGGGTTTTTCAGTTTTTGCAGATTTAGAATTTCCTATAAATTTATGTCTACAATAAACATATTAATTAAATGTAAAAGATAGGTAAATCTGGTTTCCATATCGAACCGTTGAATTTGAGTACATCAAACTTACAATAGATGATATTCAATACCGTGTCAGATCTCAGATCATTGCAACACGGTACCTATTTTAAAATAAAAAAGTTTTTAATCTTAATCCATATCGAATAGTTATTATCGAATTTCATAAACATCTTAAAATAAACTGTGATGAATAGCGTAACTACAGTTCAGTATGCCCGGGATAGAAGTATCCGAAGAGGTCCTTCTTCGCAATATAAGAAAAAGCTAAGACGTTCCTCCATATAGGAACGATTTTGAATTCTTTTAATACAGTCTCCATTCTTTACATTCAAGTTTGAAGCTCTTGGTGTAGCTGGTCTAAACAGTGTAAAAAAGTTTTCAGGATATGGCTCATAAGTTTTATTATTCGATCATCTTCACATTTTTTGGCATGTTATAAAAGTTGATCTTAGGCACTGTTGGGGTATTTTTCTACTTTAGTATATATTGTTGAAGATGAAGGTAAGTCTTTTTACTTCGTCTTTATACATAATTTTCCCCGGAGGCCCCGTGGTTCTGTGGTTCTGTGTTGTTATTGCTCCCCTGCCGGATCTTGCACTCCGATATACATGATCAGTAGTCTTCACTCTCAAAGTTGTAGCCATGATAGATGTACAAGATCCATTAGATCCATTAAAGATCCATATAGATCTTTAATGTATAGGTTTCTCCTTGCTTTTTACATCCTTACGCCGTTGACCTAGTTCTCTGTTCATCCGTCTTTAGGGCTAGTTTCCCAAACCTAGGACAAAAGAGTGCCCTACCATTTACCAACTTATCTGCCCGAAGCCGTTGGTACGTAAGTGGGGGATTGCTTATACCGGCAATCACTCGGACGTCAGTCGTTTATTATCTAGCAGGATGCACCGGATGACCAGAATCAAGATCATCACGCGTGCAGGTGAGGTTGACATTTGGATAGGAGAGGCTATACGTTGCGCATCACTATCCCTTGCATCCCCACCCGTGGATAAAAACTATCAATCAATACGTGATCGATGTGTAGGTATTACAGCTCTCTGTTAAACTGTTCAAAATTTGATGCCACAAGAAAATAGGTTCAGAACCATTTTTAAAATTTATTCAAGAATGTCCATTAGCAAATTGTTGGCAATCTAAAAGCATTTTTAGGCGAAAACCATAACTTATACCAATATTCTACATTTTTTAAAGGGATCTACAATTTATTTCATATACCTATTATAAACTAAAAATCGACATGCTGCCAATCAGCATGAATAGTCAATGCGACAGAAATTGTAAATATATAAACAAAATTATCTAACTACACATTTATTAAACGCTTTTCTCTTGTCAAGTTCAATTTAAATTTTATGAAACTCGTCGTTTAACACACTGTTCCGCCCATGATCAATCATTTTTTCCCATTAGCAAAATATACTGCTGCAGTTCAGTGAGCTACCGATTTGCCATGTTAGTGTCATGTAAATGTTAATGCACATGCTGTGTGACAAATCCCCAATTCAAATCCTGCATAATCCGAACTTGTTTCGACTTGTTTGCGTATGTTAAAGAGTCGATAATTATGGAATGATAACTATGAAAAGCACTACTCGTTTATAAACAGTAAACTATTTCCTAAATAATTATTATCAAAGCCGTACAAACAGTTGAAACAATTCCGAATTGGCTTATTGTTCAGTTGTCTAACATTATCGCATTGGCCAGGCTTTTGTTGCTTTGTTTAGCTTTTGCTGGCTATTATACAGGATAATTTGAAATTTTAAAGGTCACCTGTTGGCCCTTTAAACACTAATCCTAATAATTTGCATGGGGTATACAGGTATTTGATAAAAAATATATCGACATTTCGATTATATCCACAAATCGATATTTTACATAAATATTCAGATTCTATTTTATTTTATTGAATTATGTAATTATGTATTGAAGTATAACCGTTTAACCTTATTTCCATCAAACACAATATAATATGACCCACAAATATTTTAAAATTGCCAACGGGAAAACTGTTTAATTATAATTATTGATATCAATTTTATCTGCGGATAACATCAATATGTTCTAGGGGAGGATGGGGCGTGGACCATCGTTACTTTTTTTAAATTGCCAGCACTGTGGCAACACTGCAACTAGTAACTATGGAATTTAGAGCTTTTTACTAAAAATTGCTCGGTAAGTTGGCATGTTTACGTTAACATTTTTATAGTGTGGTGTCGCTTATCAAATGAAGGGAAAAGGGTGGGAATAGTGGCCACATAAGCGTAGTACTGCAAACTCTATTTACGAAAATGTTTTAAACAGAACAAAAAAAAATTAAAACGGTTTTTCAGACTTCTGCTGGCGACCATATTTACCCGCTGCCGAGGGGTAAAAGTAGCCACTGCCATTATTACCTCCATTTAAAAAATAGTTAAATGAAGAAATCGCAAATGTAAATTTTGTCTTCGAAACTGGTAGTCTTTGTGTGCCCATTGGTCGCAAAATCTGCATTGGATCCAGAGTTCTCTGTTTTTACCGAATTTGACACAAACTGTGCAAATATCTTCGTTAACGTCCCTATCCGGTGATCGTCATCATCCTCATCTTCAGATGATATATCTTCTGTGATCTTCTGTGTTCTTATACAATTTCTTTTTGAAACTAATCGCGGAGGACTGGACTCTTCGTTGTCTAATTTTTGTTTAGTTCCTTTGCTGGCTTTATTTCTCATTCGTTCTTCCTTCTTCCGCTGTTTTTCTTCCAGAAGTAACTTCATTGGTATTGATGTGATTATTTTGGAATGTTGCTATCTATTGCTTATGTGGTTGGACCTTTTATTTCCACTGAGTCATCTTTTGAGCATCCTCTTTTGAGAGAAGTGGAATTACGTCAACAAAAGACACTTCAAACTTTTTGTCATGTATCGAACTTTCTTTATTCCCCTAACTTCCTTATTATTCTTCTCCTTATCTAATCCACTCTTTCTTGGTCTAGTGTCTTTTTATCTTTTTCTTGTATGAATGATTCACCTTGAGCAAAATCTTCATCTGCAAAATTTTCAGGATTATATGGAAATATTCCTGTATTCTCAAAACCTTTAATGACTTTAATTGGTGTGGCTACGCGACCGTACGAATTTTTAAATATTTTAGCTATTTCAAATGTCGCTGATTTAACGATGAGTACAAAGCTACATCCAGCGGTTGGAGTCGATGTGATATGTTCGGAGGTATGGTTAACATAATAATTCCTCGTTCTTTTGTTCTTTCTAACTTGGTCTGATCATATTACCTCTGTTTGTAAACGTGCGAACTCCAGACTGTAAAACCAAAAAAAAAATGTGTAAAAAACCAAAAATTGTAACTATGTTATGCTTGCTTATGTATAATAATAATAGTAATAATTTAAGCAAATGTTAGCTACTTGCCGATGTAGAATTTAGAACTGCTGATGGAATTACACTAGGAGAAGAAATTCCTATTCAACAGTCAGAATCGACAGAAGGTAACATTTCTTTGGCAAATGATATCAATATTACATCTGCTTATATAGTATATCTAAAAGTTTCTGAATCCCGAGGTTGGGTTTCAGAAATTTTACATATAACGAGAAATAATTTCCTGAGTCAGGTTATTCCCTATTTAAAAATAAGTCAGTTGTTCATATACTCGAAATGTTCATAGATGAAGAAATCATTTTATTCCTGGTACAGGAAACGAACCAATATGCTACTTTCAAGAACCTACCCGACCCAGGAGTCTCGCCAGAGGAAATGAAATAATTCATTGTTTTATTTATTCTTAGTGGTTATAATAATCTTCCCAGCAAGCGTATGCCTTGACACTGGAAACGAACTTGTATAGGTATAATGCTATGAGACGCATCAGATTTGAGCACATTTTAAGG